TTTTATCAAGAAAACAAAATTGAAGCAATTAATTGACCCCGAGGAAATGGAAACACAAAAAAAAACCAGATCATCTTCTGTACGTAGAATGATACTTTAAACCTATTATGAATTACGATTATGGGTTAATATGAGGAAGGTGCTACCTTAAACAGGTCAGGAATAACCACCAATTGGTGGATTATACCTCAATTGACGCATAATCCACCAATTGACATAATGGCATAGACCAATTCTTTGTTTTTCAAAGCAAATTATTCAACCAAAATGGAGCATTGTTTTCTTAAAACCATATTATTGTATGAAAACATGTCAAACATTCCTAGTTTAGTATAGTGACATACCATATTGCATTTAATCAATAATTGTATTTGCAGTTTCTTCTATTGTTATCTTGTCAATTCTTGATTGGCAAATTTACCACTAGTCACCTGTCAATGGACATCATGCAATACTGTCTCCAGTCATGTGATTATATATATGAGTACAACTCCACAGGTGAATGGAGCTCTTTGTTAATACTTGACTTTCATTATTAACATGATTAAAAGTCAATCATGGTCAATAGTACAGATGTTTCAACACAAGAATTGTTGTACATACATGTATGCATTCTCAAGAGATGCAGCAGGCTTTGACAAAACTGAAAATTTTGGAGGACTCAATAATGGTCATAAAATTGGTTGGAAGTTGCAAAATGATGCTCCTATCTCACACTAGCATTTTATAACAAAAAAACTTGCATTATACGTCAATTGGTCTATACCAATATATGTCAATTGGTGGATTATACGTCAATTGAGGTATAATCCACCAATTGGTTGTTATTCCTGACCTGTTTAATGCCAGCTAACCAAATGTCCCTACATGTGATATATTTTTTGTCTAAAATTGAAAAAAAGTCTTTGTTGATTGATTTACATGATGCATTAACTTTATATCAAGCAAAACATTCTATAGTTGTACCTGACAAATTTAATAGTTCACATGGGTTCAAATTCAAGGTGGTCAGAGGTCCATGACCTTCCACTGTTGCAATCAGTATTCTTTTTGGTTAATAGCTCTGCCCCAGACAGACCTTTGATATTAAAGGAAATAAAAATGATCTTTGCTGACCTTTTTAACCATCTGTATCGTCATTTTTAAGCCATATTATTATTGAAATTGAGATAAAAAAATGTTTCATCCCTGACCTTGCCAATGAGTGATAAAAGTTATTTTAACCTTGTATTTCTTGGAAACACAAGGTTATAAATAGTTGCAAGAAGTCACGTGACAAATCATTTAATCATTTAGACATTTTCAAACAAAATGAGTCCGTTTTTCTTTGATGTCATGTCTTCCAAGAGAAAGCCTGAAGATTATGAACGGTCTTCAACCACAGGCACTTGTTTCTATCTACAAAATGTATGGGAAGGTCAACTATCCATAAATATAGAAGGATATTCAACCTTCCCATGGATAGAAACAAGTGCCTATGTCTTCGTCGTCTTAAAAAGAAATCAAATGAAGATCTCACTAAAGACCAAAAATGCAATCGTGATAAATGGGAACAGACATCAAAGCCCCACTGGCTTTATTTTGATGAATCAACTGGTCTAATGTCATGCACATACTTCCAGAAGTTCCCCATCCATTCAGAAAAAGAAAGTGCACTTGTAAGGGGAACACAAAATCTTGAAATAGACCCAATAAAAATATACGAAGTGACACCCCAGCATTTATCTTGTTTAAAGTAGTGGATCAATGAAAGTGACCCAAATTTTAAGTCAAGATTAATTGTCAGAAACTTAACTTGGACAATGTATTCTCAAGCAGCAATGTAAGCCTGATCAGTTAAATGGATATATATAAGGTTCTTTTCAACACTGCATACAGCATTGTACAGTATTGCAAAAAAGGGAAACCCATGCATCAGTGACTATGAATTTATTCTTGAAATCCAGTGCAAAAATGGTGTTGATGCGTAAGCAGTACTTCAATACCGGTATTGAAGGTTGTAAACTGTTTATTCATTCAATAGCCCATATTATATTAAAGAGAAACGAAACATCACTTGCAGTTCAAATATGATGAAACAAACTAACCTTACTTCAAAAGCTCATTAATTTTTTATCTTATTGAGGTATGAAATATTTCATGTAAAAGTAGGACCTGGGATTTAGGTTGTGGGCCTGTCAGTTTGGAGTGTCAAAGGTCCTGGACCTTCCAGTACTAAATGTTAATTTGAACCCCTGGTTCATTGAAGTCTTTAAACAACATGAGAACATTCAAATGTAAATCTTTTAGAAATTCAAATTAAGTCAGCATATATATATTGTACGTAGATAATATGATTAACATGATTAAAAAACAAAGGCACAACTATGATTAATAACTGTGATAAATATTTAAAACACACTACAAATTCTGATATAAAGTAACATATTTTGAATTGCAATATTCATAAATAAATGATTGATTTATAAAAATTTTCTGATTAATTTTTCTTATTCCTTGCTTTTCTGACTCATTAAATTAGTGTCATTTGGGTATTTTTTTTATCGATAATGTAATTTAACATTTTGCTATATACTCCACAAATTCTGATATAAAGTAACATATGTTGAATTGCAATATTCATAAATAAATGATTCATTTATAAAAATTTTCTGATTGATTTTTCTTATTCTTTGCTTTTCTGACTGATTAAATTAGTGTCATTTGGGTATTTTTCTTATGGATAATGTAATTAAATACATTTTGCTGTACTCCACAGAATCCATATTGGATGTTTAAACTTTTTTTTTTATTACATTATCAATATAATCAGAAGTCCATTACTAGACAAAGTGTGCAAGCTGTACTATATACATGTACCTGTAATTATTTTGGAAATTTGCTTTCGCTGTCACTTACAATGGATAGATGTTAAAGCAGACAATAAACATCACATAAGATAGGTTAAAGGTTACTTGTTTGTCCAAACTTCGGTTATTTCCATGGTACAAAAAAATATAAATAAACTACACAAGCCATTAAAATAAATTAATCATACAAGATTTAACGAGAGTGATGAAACTTTTCAGATGGGTCATGTAGAGAAAGTTATCGTTCTTTATTCCAATTCGATGCTTCTACCATAAGTGCCAGCTAACGCTGGCATAATATGAGGCAGGTGCTACCTGTGAAAGAGGATGAAATCCATAAAAATAAATATTCATACACTGATTTTGTTAAATTAAAATTATATTGCTTACATCCGGTTCATTTGGTGGATAGTTATCTAATTCAGTAATTGGCAATCAAACCACAATTCCTTATTATGAAATGAAGCAGGCAGGTTTTTATACGACTTCAAAAAAATTTTGCAGTCGTATATTGGTATGACGTTGGCGTCGTCGTCGTCCGAAGACACATTGGTTTTCGCAATATAACTTTAGTTTAAGTGTATGGATCTCTATGAGATTTTACCATAAGGCTCAATACCACAAAAGGAAGGTTGGGATTGATTTTGGGGGTTATCGTACCAACAGTTAAGGAATTAGGGGCCAAAAATAAGAATTTTTGTAACTTCCAGACATAACTTTTGTGTTAGTATATGGATCTCTCTGACATTGTACCACAAGGTTTCATATCACAAAGGGAATGCTGGGATTGATTTTGGAGGTAATTGTCTCAAAATTTTAGGAATTGGGGGCCAAAAAAGGGGCAAAAACAAGCATTTTTCTAGTTTCATGACAATAACTTGTAAGTGTATGGATCTTTCTGAAATTGTACTACAAGGTTCCATATCACAAAGGGAAAGCTGGAATTGAGGTTGGGGGTAATTGCCCAAATTGTTTAGGAATAAGGGGTCATATATATATGCAAAAAGGGGCCAAAAATAAGCATTTTTCTAGTTTCCAGACAATAACTTGTGTTCAAGTGTATCATGTGTATGGATCTCTCTGAAATTGTACTGCAAGGTACCATACCACAAAGGGAGGGCTTGGATTGATTTTGGGGGTAATTGCCTCAAAATTTTTCGGAATTATGGGCCAAAAAGGGGCCGAAAAACAAGCATTTTTCTAGTTTCCAGACAATACCTTGTGTTCACGTGTATGGATCTCTCTGAAATTGTACTGCAAGGTACCATACCACAAAGGGAAGGCTGGGATTGAGTTTGGGGGTGATGAATCATAAGGGGGTTCAAAAAATTTGGGGGGAATTTTTTTTCCTTTTTTTTTTCTTTAAAATTTTCCATATTTATAATTAGTTGGTTATTTCTGATTTATATATAAAAAGCAAATAATAATGATATGGTTTGAGTAGGTAAATTAAAAATTTTTAAGTTCTTAGACCACATTCATTCTGTGTCAGAAACCTATGCTGTGTCAAATATTTAATCACAATCCAAATTCAGAGCTGTATCAAGCTTGAATGTTGTGTCCATACTTGCCCCAACTGTTCAGGGTTTGATCTCTGTGGTCGTATCAAGCTGCGCCCAGCGAAGCATTTTATTTTAGTTGGGTGCCAAATGTAACTGGAGAGCATGGTATTATTGCAAAATTACATTGTATACACCAGGAATCGAACCCAGGACAGCTGTGTTACAAGGCAGAGATTTGACCGACTGATCTAAAGAAGTACTTCCTAAGCTCAACCGCTTACTGCTGACTGAGTATCTACTAGTTAAGGGATGCAATCCCGTCACACCTGTATATAGATATCATATCTATATAAGTTCATGAATATTGATGTTTAATTTCACATGCGTTGTTAGGTATATGTGATTCCTTGTACTCACAAGAAACACATGTAGAGCAGGGGTATGAACAAGTAAGCAGTAGCTCACCATACATTTTTTGTTATGGAAAAAAGAAGAAATAATATCAACACACATGATCAAAATGGCATATTTTTGCTTGATGAACAATATATGTTCTTATGCGTACACATGTCTTAGAAGCTGCTTGTAACTATTTCACTGAGTCAGAATATAACATCATGAACTTAGATCTAGATTTAACTTTATTTAGATTATTGACCTCAAAGCTGAGCTCTTTAGAAAGCAGGAAGAATTTAAACAACAGAAATTACAGAGCAGCAGTACAAATTATGTCAAATCTAGACAAACAGAAAAGGTAAAATTATGTCAAATCTAGACAAACAGAAAAGGTAAAATAATGTCAAATTTAGACTTAAGGTAAAATTATGTCAAATCTAGATTAATAGAAAAGGTAAAATTATGTCAAATCTGGACAAACAGAAAAGATAGAATTATATCAAATCTAGACAAACAGAAAAGGTAAAATAATGTCAAATCTAGACAAACAGAAAAGGTAAAATTAGGTCAAATCTAGATTAACAGAAAAGGTAAAATTATGTCAAATCTAGATTAACAGAAAAGGTAAAATTAGGTCAAATCTAGATTAACAGAAAAGGTAAAATTATGTCAAATCTGGACAAACAGAAAAGGTAGAATTATATCAAATCTAGACAAACAGAAAAGGTAAAATAATGTCAAATTTAGCCTTACTGAAAATGAATGGTAAAATCATGGTAAATCTAGACCAAAAGAAAAAGTAAAATTATGGTAAATCTAGACCAAAAGAAACATTGAGAAAAAGTACATGTAAAGTAATGTCAAATCTAGACCAAAAGAAAAGGTTGGATTATATCAAATCTACATATATGTAAAGTATGTTGACAAACAGGAAAGGTTAATTATGTCAAATTAAGACTTGCAGAAAATATATGGTAAAATCATGGTAAATCTAGACCAAAAGAAAAAGTAAAATTATAGTCAATCTAGACAAAAAGAAAAGGTAACATTATGTCAATTCTAGACCAAATGAAAATGTAGAATTATGTCAAATCTACATATATGTAGACAAACAGAAATAATATGCATAAATTTCTTAATGATATATGTACAGTCTCAGGACAACTTGTGATCTTAAATCACTTTCTACACATTAACCAATTTGTAAACACAACTATGCTGAAAAAGATAGAAACATATTCAGTATCATCGATTCAGGCTTATAGACAGGAATGTGATGTTCAGTCGTTGTCGTTTGTTGATGTGGTTCATAAGTGTTTCTTGTTTCTCGTTTTTTTTATATGGATTAGACTGTTGGTTTTCCCGTTTGAATGGTTTTACACTAGTAATTTTTGGGGCCCTTAATAGCGTGCTGTTTGGTGTGGGCCAAGGCTCCGTGTTGAAGACCGTACTTTGACCTATAATGGTTTACTTTTATAAATTTTGATTTGGATGGAGAGTTGTCTCATTGGCACTCATACCACATCTTCTTATATTTATAGCTTAAGTGGGCTATATTAGCTTGAATGAGCCAAAAAATTATCTCCATTGACATTTTTCAAAGAAATTTCAATTCAGCTTAAATACTTGATTGTCCAGGTTGAAACTGTACATGCATTTAATAGATATAGTTGAATATTTATGTGGAAAAAGTACTTTATCACATGAGTTTTTGGAATATATTTTTTTCAATATAAAAATTATTGAAAAATTATATTCAGCAGTACTGATGATTATAACCACAAAGTTCTAGATTGTACATCCAAATGATAATTGAGAAACTGAAATTTCATAAAACAAATTTTAAGGTATATATGTTTTTATAGCACAATTGAGCATATATCAATGTATATAGCCAAATAAGTATACTTAAACATGTTAAATAAATCTCACATTAATATTAACTTAGATGCAATTAATGTACATGTAGAAATCAACAGTATGGAGCAAACAAAATGTTGGAGTTTTACAAAGAGCACAGAAAGATTTAGAGAGTAAAGCAGAAGAAGAGAATGAATATGAAAAATCAAGGTTTGTTTATCAGCAATATTACTTTAACTTAACTAAAACCTTTAATCAGTCAGGGGAATTACTTATTAAAACAAGTAACGTTCAAAATTACCTGAACAAAATATGTAAAACATAAATCATCAATATTTACATAAAATTGAGTAGAAATAATTTTGAATTGAAAATACTAGGAATATCAAACAAAGATTACTTTATATTGTACTTCCTTTTCATAAACATTATCAATAGCAGAATAGATTGATTGATTGATTGATTGTTGTTGTTGTTTTTCAATATTCATGAATTTAATGATATAAAATGAATAATAAATTAAAAGGGGTTGGGATGTGACACTAACAGGAAGCTTATTCTGACACACAGGAAATTTATGTAGAGTTGAGTAGGGCATTAATTAACTGCAGCATTTGCCTCAAATGAACCTTCTGGAATGTAACAATGCTGGAGAGGATTTTTTTTGTGATAGGAGGGTGGTATCCTCTTAAAATGAGACAATCATTTACATCTTTTTTGAAAGATGGGTGGTTTTATATATATCAAACACAATAACAGACAGGGTGCTTTGTAGCCTCAGCTTGAGAATCTGGGGTTAATTTCTGTATCCCTATTAAAGTTTCACAGGGACCAAATTCAATGTAAATACAAAAAAGACGATGTGGTATGACTGCCAATGAGGTCACCATACGACCGTCAACAATGAGCAAAGCCCATACCGCATAGTCAGCTATAAAAGGCCCCGAAACGACGAATGTAAAACAATTCAAACGAGAAAACTAACAGCCTAATTTATGTAAAAAATAATGAACGGAAAAAAACAAATATGTAACACAGCAACAAACGACAACCACTGAATTACAGGCTCCTGACTTTGGACAGGCACATACAGAATGTGGGGAGGTTAAACTAGTTTGAAGGCGTCAACCCTCCCCTAACCTGGGACAGTGGTGTAATAGTACAACATAAGAACAAACTATAGAAATAAGTTGAAAAAGGCTTAACTCATCAGATGCATACAAATAGAAATACATCTAACAAAAACACAGAGTGGAATATGGACGGGTACTTGTACAACCCAACAACAAAAAGACACTAAGTACAGATCTGAGAGTACTCGCAGTTACTGACAGCTAGTTCAAAGCCCATAGCAATAATATGTTAACTATAAATAGGGTTTTGATTTTGTTGGAATTGAACTTAGGATTACAGAACACTGAAATAGTTACAGAAAAAACCACTGCATACAAACAACTGACCCTAACTAAGATTACCTAGTCTTCTTCAGATTAATTTACTGTGGATTCATTATAATTTGTTGGATACTAATTTTCGTGGATTTCGTGGGGATAGGTAAACCGTAAATTTCAAACTTCAATGCAATACAATTCGTCTTTACTATAGGCTTAAGTTTGTATGCAGACTTTTATTAAACCAAGAAATCAAATACTGTGGATTCATCATTATTCGTTGGATACCAATTTTCGTGGATTTCGTGGTTACCCGGGAACCACAAACTTAAATGTCCAACGAATTACAAATTTTGTTTAGGAATTTATGCACACTTTTGAAAAACCACGCAATCAAATATCCATGAAAATGCAAGTTTTCCTCAATCAACGAAAATTGGTACCCACGTATATAAATGAATCCACAGTATCCACGAAAATACAATTTTTCCTTAATCCATGAAAATTTGAATCCACAGTACTTGATACACAAATACCATATATATTATCTTATTGAACAAATTTTAATTAAGATTGTTTATAAACATGATCACTGTAAATGTTTAAATCTAACATTTTAATATAAGAACAAGTGAAGTAAATTAGAAAGTGTCATCTTATAAAATTTTTCATTTCATTACAGGAAAGCTCTAGAGAAAAAGTCCAAATTATATGAACAGATATCTAAAGCAAGTGGAATCCCAGGTATTTAATACAGTAAATGCTTCCTTTGTAAAATTTTGTTTGAATTTCATTCATTATTCATAGCAGCATAATATTTCCAACAGGACGTAAGCAAAAGTTAACATGCAATAATATATAGCTATAGTGAAAGCCTTTGTATAAGATCGATACTATAATAAATTTATTGCATGCGGGACTTTTCCTTTGTATAAGGTCGATGCTATAATGAATTTATTGCACGCTGCACTTTTTGCGTTTTGTAGAAAAATAAACGAGATACAACAACATCACCATTAACAAAAACGTTATGTCATGAAATTTATTAACCCCATAAGGATCCATAGGGAGTCACCATGTGACGGCGTTAATCCAATCACAACATTATAATTTACCCACGGTGAGTTCACTAGTGTGAACTTCATATTTTATACATGACCTTTCAAGAAGACAATAGATATTGGAATATAATTAGCATGCATGATCTTTCATCACATGATAATCACATTCTTGTAATAATGGAAAGATTTTATTTTTCATGGTCATCAGAGGAAGATGGTAGTAAAGTATTTCTGGTTGATTTCCAAAAGAAAGTAATTGACAACATACTGGAAGAAAGGAATAAACAGAGAGATGAGGAAGAAAAAGGAATGCTAGAAGACAATCATATTTCTGATGCTGACATACATCATCCTAAAGATAAAGGAGAAGAATGGTTAGGAAGAAATAACTTTAAACCAACTTATTTTTTCGCTGATACAAAATTATTTACAGCTTTAAGCCCTTTCTAGCTGAATTTGCTGCAAATTCTTTGATGCAATTTTCTAAATTTCATCATGTCTTTCTTTATATAAGGGAAGATCCAATTTTTACATATTCACATTATTTTTCTACCCACAAAAGTCTGAAAATCCATGAAATTGGTATTCTACGAATGATAACTTATTTCTGTGTTATATAGATATCAAAACAGTAGATTGATTATCATTTGCTTAAATGTCCAATGACAAAATATTCATACAAATTCTTTGACAATGAAAATGGTTAAATTAAGTTTGCTTTTATTTCTTCTAAAAAAAATTGTTTTAGGAACTGTAGTGTGTGATTAGAAGAAGCTCAATATGTACCAAACTTATGCATTCATTTGTTGATTTTTTAAATATTTTAAGTATGCACAAGATAAAAACACCATCAACTTAAAACCACATACAGTACTGTATTGCTGTGTGTTTGTTTATTCCACATTTGCTAGAGGTACAGGGGAGGGTGTAGATCTCACAAAACAGGAACCTCTGGCCTTTGTTAGTCTTGTAAGTTTTATCTTCATTTTTATGTTTCGGGTTTAGTGTGGTGTCCTTTTTCTCTGAACTGGTATACATTATTGTTTAGGCGCCAGCTGAAGCCGGACCCCAGGTGCAGGATTTTCTTCCTGTGTTGAAGACCCATTGGTTGCCTTGGGCTGTTCTTTGCTCTTTGGTCGGGTTGTTGTCTCTTTGACACATTCCCGGTTTCCACTCACAATTTTATATGGATATAAGTTGTGAATGACATGCTTCCATTTAAATTTTAAATTTAATTTATGGAAACATAAACATATTTGGATTAAAATAAAGCCTTTTGCAATCAATATTGGTTGAATTGTGAAGATACATTTGTAAATGAACTTAATTTCAGTTGGTCATATACATTAAGATTATCAAGATGATTTGGCAAAGTGCAAGTTAGTCAGACCAATAATTTATAGATTTTTATAGAAGTTTATACCTTATGTACGGTCCTAATAAACAGTGTATTTAATTGCATTAAGTATAGCAGTTTGGATGCTCTAGTTTTTATAATCTGTGTTTTAGTTGATTTTAGTCTCTGATGCATGATTTTTTATTATTAATTGTTTTTGGCTTTTAACTAGCTGTCAGTAACTGCGAGTACTCTCAAATCGTACTTTCTTGTTTATTTGATCTGTTGATACTAATTGTAATGCTTTTTTGTTATTTAATGTTATTCAGGGTTATATCTGGTCTATATACCAGCTTTGATAAGTGTTTGGTATTACTATAAATTTTCACTTCGTACTATGAACATCAAAATTATTTATTTTGTAAAAATATTTCCTTTCTCTATTTGAACTGTACACGTATACCTCACAACAAAATTAATTTCATTTACCTGTGTTTAAAGTAATTGCAAATGGCTGATTTTTTTGTTCGAGCATATTGTTTTTCTTAAATTGTTTAACATTTCATAGCGGTATAACATGTTACTTTTATTATTCTTCCCTTAGTTTATTTATTTTGTATTTACATTGTATCATAGGTCAAATTTATTTGTTCAGTGTATGTTCACTGGTGTTAATATGTCCTTTGATTGAGTTAAGCTATTTCAGTTGATATTTTATAGTGTGTCTTTCTATGTTGTGATGTTACACTATTGTTTCAGAAAAGGGTGAAGGTTTGGTACCATTAAAACGTTTAAACCCGCTGCATTTGTTTGCACCTGTCCTAAGTCAGGAATCTGATGTTCAGTAGTTGTCCTTTGTTGATGTGGTTAAAAGTGTTTCTCGTTTCTCGTTTTTTATATAGATTAGACTGTTGGTTTTCTCGTTTGAATGGTTTTACACTAGTAATTTTTGGGGCCCTTTATAGCTTGCTGTTCGGTGTGAGCCAAGGCTCTGTGTTGAAGACCGTACTTTGACTTATAATGGTTTACTTTTATCAATTTTGACTTGGATGGAGAGTTGTCTCATTGGCACTCATACCACATCTTCTTATATCTATTGCCTACAACGAAAGTTACAGAAGTGGGACTTAGGTGCGGTGTCAGTATGGTCAACTATTGTTAAAGTTTGTGATTAGCTTACCAAGGTTTATCTTATTTAAACAAAAAAGTCACAAAACTAGTGTAAATCTTTTACTTACAAAAATGTCCAATGCTTATAACCATGACCATATTACTTTAATTATACTGTTTCTTCAATAACTCATGTCATTCTGAATATGTATGAAGTATTTAGCACTGCATGTTAGACAAAAATATTGGACAACCTATAATTGACATGTATTTTTCTCTAACCAAATTATTTTGACATCTGATCACTTGAAAACATACAAATTAAATAAGATCAGTAAATTATACCATGACATTGTAAGACATTTTATAAGAAAGTTTTATTCCTTAAAAAAATATTAAGAAATAAGTATCCGGCTGATATATTTAGCCACAGAAAGGAATTAGTTGGAACAGCCAGCATTAACCTTTAATTTAAATGATTTATATTTGACAATAGTATGATTCAATAGATCAATAACTTGGCTTTCATCAAAAAGTAAAATAGCAAAAATACTGAACTCCAAGGAAAATTCAAAATGGAAAGTCCTTTATCAAATGGCAAAATCAAAAGCTCAAACACATCAACACATTGTCTTTTTTTTTTATAAATATTTGCAATTCATTTTAAAATTATGATAATTAAATCTTGTTCTTTCAAGATTGGACAGAACCATTTCCAGCTTGTAACTTTTAATGTAAAGCTATGTCCAGTAAATGTTATGATAAAAATATTATAATTGTATAATATCAGGGTAGATTATACTGATTCACTAGGAAGATCTAGAAGATGTATGAAGAAAGACTTGTCTATATTAAAGGAAAGAGATAAAGACCTCCAAGGCAAACAAGACAGGTAATGTTAAATATATATTTTAATAAAGGTAAGTAGATGGAAGATTAATGTTCAGGTTGATATCTTCAGGCCTATTCCAGATGCATGATTAGAATGCAGAAGTAATCATTCAACCATATGAAAGATTTGAACATACCGGTATTGATATTTATACGAACCTTGCTATAATTATGAACATAGTCACCTCACCTGCACTCAATATTCTGTTTAAAAAGAACATGTCTTGCTCTAAATGTGTTTTACTAACTCTACTACAGCTGTTACACATTTAATAATCTTCTGTTAAAGTCTGCCAGGGATTGAACCTATGACTTTTATCACTTGATGTGAGCAGGCTACAACAATATCACCAAGGGGTTATTTAATAAAAGTTGAATTGATAATTTCGTATGGTTGAAAAAGGGAACAGGTTTATCATTATCAAGTAGTGTATTATCAACTTTGTATTCAGTAATGTATATATCCATGGTGATTTCATTCAATTCATTAATAATATATACTCAGATATTCAAATTACAAAATGATGTGTAAATGTATATATGTCTGTGTCAATCTATTTTTTGTTTTGTTTATGTAGGGTACAATAAGTAGTGTGTGGCAAATAAATCTTATCTGCTAAGGGCTGTTCCAGATTAAAAGGCATGGGGGATAGAAGGCACTTTTTTTTAAGACCCAAACCTCGTGTGATATAAATTTTTTCATTTTACTTATAATTTGTAAGAATTATAAGTAAAATGAAAAATACAACCACCAACAATTAATTAATTTGAGTGCCTACCATCCCCCCATGCTTTTGAACCTAGAACAGGCCATGCAATAATGGACAAAAGAAGATAACTCAATTCAAAATAATGCCTAAATATGTTTCCTTTGTTTAATACATAGCAATGTTTGATTTTAAATTCACAACGCAAAATGAAATCAATCTTTTTCCGGCAGTGCTCGCAAGCATTTTGACTATTAAACTTATGCCACATTGTGGTCTTGGAATATAATGTTACCAGTCGTTCTGAAATCCAGCAGATGTCAAGGACCATTTTTCTGAAGTATTGACCCATTATTCTCTATCCTCTAAACCCATCCAGACCATTGTGTATAATGGTGAGTTACAAATCAGCCTACATGAATAATTTTCATAGAAATACATAGTCCTTCTGAGATTCTAAAGGCAGGGCTGGTTTTATTATTTCAGAATTGATTTTAGAAAATTTGAGTTTGATTTATAATGCTGTATTGGATTTCTTCAGTCAAGTTAACAATAAATGCCAAATAAATAACGATAATTGATGTATCCTTTTGTACACATTTTGAAGGATTGAGGAAAAAAATAGTGCCTTACCAACCTTGATGTCTGATGATATGAGAAGAGAACTGCTGAGACAGAAATGGGAGAAAGAAGAGTTAGAAGCAATGAATGGACCTATACATTACTCTAATGTCAGATTTGATGGTAAAATAAGTGTAATTGAAAAAAGAAGTGATATTGGGCATTTGGTTGTTAGACAATAAAGAGAAAGAAGTTAAAGTTGAAAATCTAACAAATAATCTGTGACAGTCCATAAAAAACAGATAAGATGAAGAAAATAATTATTATATGATATGTCTTATTTTAGGCAAAGTATACAAAATTGTGTGATATTAAGGTTTTTCAAGAAATTATGTATGCATTTACAGCTCTTTGAACTGCATCAAAATGTTGGAAAAAAATCATACATGTAACTTTTTTACTTCCATTGATACTGTCAATTTAAAATTTGTTAAATAAGTCTATAAATAATATATGGAATGTATACAAAAAGCAGAGAAAAACATGCAGTTTTTCACTTTAAATAAGCTTTCGTTTAGGTCAAAGAATTTGTTCCCATCTTGATTCAAAAACCTTATTCATTTTTAAGAACAACCTTAAAACATTTTTTATTCAAATTTGAGTGTTGATGAAGTACGATATGCTTACCCTTCCAGAACAACTGAGATCACCCGGCTTTCGTTTGGGTTCTTTATGCTCAGTCGTTTGTTTCCTTTGTTATAATTTACATACTGTTGTATTTTTTCTGATTATTTTTCATTTTTTTTCCATTGCATTGTCAGTTTTTTTTATCGACATATGAGTTTTTATGTCGCTTTGGTAATCATCTGTTTCTGTCTTAATGCTTGCTGGTCAAGTTTTGAACAATAAAATACCAACCAATAATGAACTGGGGAACGCATATTTGTCTCATTTAAAAAAAAAGACTTGAGCTTCTAACAGCTACTAGTAGTTTATTAATATTCATGTTTATATCGGGTTATATGAACGTCGGTAGTCTTCGGATGTCATCTCTATGGTTAATTATATGATATATAGACATTAATACACACAAAATGTTGATACATAAGTTGGAATACCCTGAATAATCCCCCATGTAGTTTAATTTTGATTTATTTTTATTAAACATTTATTAAGTAATTGTTTTCACTTGGAATATAAGTCGAAGGTATTGACAAACAGCATTTAGATTTTTGCCGTTCGCAAAACTGCCAGTCAAATTTGCTTTACTAAAATAGGTGTCTTGTATCTCTTTTGTACCCCACAATTCATCTTTTGGGTTTGTGTGGCTAAAAAAAGAGGGGGGGGGGGGGGGGGGGGGGGGCTATCGTTTAGGTCAAAGAATTTGTTCCCATCTTGATTCAAAAACCTTATTCATTTTTTAGAACAACCTTAAAACATTTTTTATTCAAATTTGAGTGTTGAATTTTATAATTTTTTATCATAAATAAATATTTGTGATAACTCCTTCCTGAAAAGAAAAAAATGTTTAGATCTATATTATGCATGTCTGTTTGAGAACCATTTCATAAGACCGATGATTTCTATAGAAATCATTGATGGGACCCACTATAAATACATTTTTTTTATTATTCCTGGAGTAGATAATAATTTTCTTTTAATCTTTGGGAATTATTCAATTTGTTTTTATGTTAAAATAATTAACTTCATAATTTTGATGAAGAAAATCCATTTCAATTCAATTTTTTTTCATCAAAATGATGATTTTCATTTTCATCTATCAACAAACTTTTTAAATTGTAGTGGCATGGTCGGTCAACTGATAAGTTGTATGGCTATATTGCAGGTAAAGCAATAACTTCTATTTGACAGTTGCGTGTACTCTGGGGTGTGGAATACCTTAATTTTATGGGGAACATCCTGTCCGTGTGTAATACTTAATATATTCCAACAGATGACATTACACAAATTTTTCTTCTGTTAAATGAATGATTTGTATATCATCATAATTTGCTATTTATATAAACCACATTTTGGTATAATAATTATTTACCATATCAACATTGAATATTATGAATGTAGAATGAAATATGTCTACAGTATGATTGGTTTGAATCATTTAATTTATAAGATTTAGGAATCAAAATTTGTAATTATTTAAAAACCCACATTGAAATTGTTTTATATCAACACACCCACATTTGAATTATTTTATACTTTATATTGCATAGCCATATTTGCATTTGTAAAAATATTTATATACCCAAATTTTCAATTATTTTACATGCCCAACTTTTATTTTTGTTGTAAAGAAGTGTAACTTGAAACAACAGTATATCATATAAAGAGAAATAAAGATTAAAGTTATATCATGAATATTGGTCATGATTTGTAAAACTCAGAACTGTCAAGTAAATTTAAGACACGATTCAAAATGTTCAGAATATGTCAAGCCATACTGAGAAAAAATAAGAATGTCGAGAATATTTCGAGAAATTTCAAGACAGTATTCAAATGTCAAGAATTTGTCAAGAAATTTTAATACCATAATCAGAATGTCGAGAATATGTCGAGTAAATTTCATACAAATTTAATATAAATGAGAATTTGTCAAGAAAAATTAAGACACAAGTCATACTTTTGGAGAATGTCGAGTAAAAGTTCATGCAAATTAAGACAAAAACTGGTCTTTTCAGACTTTTAGACTTTTGTAGTGTATGGTATACAAATGTTGTCCGTCTGTCTGTCAGGCGTAAACATGTCGCACTGTAACTTAAGAACGACTTATCCAAATTTCATGAAACTTTCTTATGATGGTCAAACAATCTGTATACTTTTTGGTGAAAATAAGATTAAAACTTTTTGAGTTACGGGAGTTAGTAACTAAAACAGGTGTGTGCTTTTTTTCACATGTCGCGCCGTATCTCAAAAACGATTTATGATTAATGCTTAAAATTTTACACACTTCTTAGTTTTATTAATCTAAAGATCTGTATACTTTTTGGTTTTGATTCAAAATTTTATTTTAGAGATTTTGAGTTTTTTGTTAAAAAAAAGGGGGTTTTCGCATGTCTGGCTGTATGTCAGAAACTATTTATGATTATTGCATAAAAATTCACACACAAGACGACGGGCGTATCATGTGCTCATGGCGCAGCTGTTTATCGTTTCTGCTCTTACATGTCTTATGCAGTATTTACTGCAGTACATAGACCGGCTTAGGATCAAGATTGACTATAGTTTAAGTTTAAGTAATGTGGAAATATTGAAACTTTAATACTGTAAATTCAGAAATTATTGTGTGCATGTATTATTGCAATTTTTAAAGAAGGGACAAAAATGCAAGATTAATTATTGCAATTTCAGGAAAAGCTTCATACTGATATATGTTGCAGATATCAGAATGATTGTTCTTATTATTGCAATACTCAAGCAGTCATATTATTCGAATTAATAAAAACCTTGAAATAATTTCTGAATTTATAGTACTTTAAATGTAATGATATTATAACTTTTCTTTTAGAAAAGAGATCTCATGGTGTTGGTTTCTTTGAGTTTGACAAAAGTGAAGCAGGACGTCAGGAACAGTTAGATACTTTAAATCAATTAAGGAAACAGGTTTGATTTTTACTTCGATAAATGATTTTTGTCAAGCCTTCGACTTTAGTCGAAAAAGTGAGACATAGCGATCCTACATTCCGTCGGCGTCATCGTCGGAGGCGTCCACAAATAATCACTCTGTGGTTAAAGTTTTTGAAATTTTAATAACTTTCTTAAACTATGCTGGATTTCTACCAAACTTGGACAGAAGCTTGTTTATGATTGTAACAGGGTTCTTGGACGGAATAAAATGATTCGTCTAGATGTTTAAGATGTTTATTTATACGACATATATAAATGACCCTGAAAGTACACAAATAACAAAACATAAATACATAGACAATACGGTGTACAAAGGGATATAACTCTAATTCTTATAACGGAAAGTACATGTATAAAATACGATAAACTGGCTCTTTTCTATAAGAATACAACCAATACTATTAAAGTGTATAATTTATAAATATATAAATTCAATCAAACTCAATTGTAAACCAAGTCAGGATTAAGTGCTACATTATGTTCAATAATCTTACGTTAATCATTCATTGATTTATGAATGAACTATTTGATACTATAATGTTTACATGTAATTATTGACATACAGGTAACTACTATTCACAAGACACAAACAATACATTTACTGAACTTAAATTAACTAGACAAACACGGACAATACAGTAAACTAAAAATACTTTGAAAACACTGATCTTACCATGTATATGGTACAAAGGTCTATCTCCTATTTGGAAACATCACCAAATCATAACATCGAGATACTCTGGTCCTGTTAAAAATACAAATATAACCTACATAAGTCTAATGAACTAAATTATATCTGCATAACATTTAAACACAATAAGTATAATGTTCAATAGACATTGCTTGAGACCTTTTATAATAATAATATAACTGTACCAATACATGTATCATTAATATATCTATGATATATTAATTCTCTGAGTTCATGAAAATACTTCTTTAAAATAAAATATCTATCATTCATGCACAATCATTCTGACTTATTCAAAAATACATTTTCTCTCAGATTCAAACTAAAGGAAAACTGTGTAAATATTAAAGACTTAGAAATATTAGTAACTGACCTGATTAATGTGGAATTAGTATCCAGAATATAATGTATATAACTTATTTAAATATGGCTGCTGTATTGTATAGCTTTCTCTCAAGGTATTCAAAAAGTGTGGTAAAACTTTTAACTCAATGACTATGACCAATAGAAGACAAGATAATACGACACATGACTGACTGACTAATGAACCAGAAAAATAGAGTAGAACTACAGTACTAAGAAGATATAACATACCAAGAAAATAAGATTGCATAAGAGAATATTAAAATTGATGAACTCTTAAAATACACTTAATAAAACTACTTATTAATATTAATTATTCTGAAAGAAAATAAATATTTATGTAAAACACTCTACCACATACTCCCCTGACTTCTAAAATGACGTCCACGTCATTTCAGACTAACAACATAATATCTATGAAAAATAAAATGAAATAGTATTATATCTGATGCTGCAATGTACTGATACTGCAATCACTAATAAATACAGTGTAGAAATCAATCAGGATAATCCACCAAAATATTATCAAATATAATATATTAATAGTATCAATAGTATAGCTGATATATAAAACATCAATGATCTACAGTCAAAATGGCTAATAAAGCCTTCCCTGCTTCTAGCTCTATCCCTGAAAAAAAACCTCTGTCAATACAGCTAGATAGGTAATCTGCCTTCTGTCTCCACTCAGCTGGTGTAACTACAGGTGTATCAGTAGGTGGAACTGCAGACTTCGTCACAAAATCACCAGACTGTAACCACTTAGGTTGTGTCCTCTCTCGACCTGATCGACGAGGCAAAACTGGAGGTGCATCATCTTCAACATGAGCTGGATCAAGCGTCTCTGGTTCTAAAGGCATCTCCTGCTCTTCATCTTCATGTACGGATTCCATTTCCTGTACATCTATGTCATGGGCGTCCCCATCTGACTCCGGAGTTAGTAGTTCTTCTTGGTGTCCATCAAGACTCGCTGTTTCATCATCTTCAACACTGGATGAAGTGTTGTGAACCATTGGTCGTTGATGTACAAATATCTCAAAATCATCATTATGGCTATCGCTTTCCTCCATGGTACAGTATGTGTTCGAGCTGTTGATTTTCGTTTGCATTCTTTTTCTCGGTCTAGGAACTGGTTTAGGTACTGGTTCTGTCATCGGTGGTTGACTTGAAATATATCCCACAGGCAGCAAAAGATTCCTATGTAACGTTCGTTTACGCCCCTCGCCACTATCTTTCTGTACAATGTAGACTGGTATATCTTTATTCGGTTGTTCTAGTACAAGGTAGATATCGTTCTCCCATTTATCGCTCAACTTATGTTTACCATCAAAAGCAACTTACTTTACTAGTACTTTATCGCCTTTTTCTACGACTGCTCCTCTAACTTTCAAATCATATTGTTCTTTCTGTTTCTCATGTACCTTCTTTGCCGATTCTGAAGCAAGCTTGTATGCATCTACTAGTCTGTTCTTCAATTCTTGGATGTACTTAGTTTGTGGTTTCCTATCTTTTTCCTTTACAAGTCCAAATGCTAAGTCGATGGGAAGCTTTGGTTGTCGGCCAAACATAAGAAAGTATGGTGATTGTCCAGTTGCTTCGTGTCGAGTGCAGTTGTACGCATGAACTAACGGAGCGACATAAGCTTTCCAGTTGGTTTTATCTTTTGGCTGTAAAGTTCCAAGCATTGACAGTAATGTTCTGTTAAATCTCTCAGTCATGCCGTTGCCCATCCGATGGTATGGTGTTGTTCTTGACTTCTTTATTCCTGTTAGACGGCAAAGTTCCTGAATGATGTTACTTTCAAAGGATGGACCCTGATCTGAGTGAATTCTGTTAGGTAAACCATAATGCACGATGAAGTTGTTGAGTAATGCTTCTGCAGTTGTCTTTGCAGTTTAGTTGCGTGTTGGTATAGCCTGTGCATAATGTGTAAAGTGGTCGGTGATTACCAAAATGTCTTGAATTCCTCCCTTTGATGGTTCTAGAGTAAGACAGTCAATGCATATGAGGTCCATTGGCTGAGTTGTTGTGATGTTGACTAGTGGTGCTCTTCCTGGATCTTTCTTTCTCTTGATACATCTTTCGCAACGTTGAATCCATTCTGCAATATCTTTGTTCATCCCAGGCCAGTAAAATCGTTCTCTAATAAGACTGGTAGTTCTATCTTTGCCTGGATGACCCATTTCATCATGAAGTGCTTCTAAAACTAACTTGATGTGTGAAGATGGTAGTATAAGTTGATGATGTATCTTTTCGTCGATGGTAATCTCTCGGTAAAGTATATCATCTATAAGTCTGAGATGGTTGAACTGTTTATTCAGTGGACTTGGTGTTATCTTTTCTTTTGCTGGTTTCTGTCCAGATTTCAGTTGTTTTATCCATGTGTGAAGCAAAGGATCCATAGCTTGGACTTCTGACCAGTTAGTGTCAGTTGAAACATCTATATGCATATCCAAATTACTGATGTCGATAGAATCTGGTGATATGGCATAGGAGTCAATCAATGGAGTATATATGCATCCACATATTGCTTTGATGGAATCTTGGCTGATGGTTGTCAATCTGGATAGTCCATCTGCATCTGCATTGGTTTTACCTGGACGGTAGATGATGTCGAAATCGTAAGCGGCTAGTGCAGCGAGCCAACTGTGTCCAGTAGCATCTAGATTTGCAGACGTGAGTACGTATGTGAGTGGGTTGTTGTCTGTGAGTACTCTAAACTTGTGGCCATAGAGGTAGTCATGGAACTTGTCAGTTATGGACCACTTTAGTGCAAGAAATTCCATCTTATGTGCTGGATAGTTCTGTTCTGCTGTTGTTAAACCTCTGCTAGCATATGCGATTACACGTTGATGTCCATCTTGCTCTTGATATAGTACGGCACCAAGGCCTTGACCACTGGCATCGGTGTGCATTTCAAATGGTTTGGAGTAATCAACATATCCAAGTATCGGTGCTGAAGATAAGAGTTGCTTTAAATTTCTGAAAGCTGTTTCTTGCTTATCAGTCCACTGAAATGATTCTTGTTGTTGTTTCTTAGTCTTCTTCTTCCCTTTCTTTACATTAGAAGTTGGCATAATGGATGTAAGTGGCTTTGCTATCTGACTAAAGTTACGGATGAACTTGCGGTAATATCCTACAAATCCGATGAATCTACGTACTTCTTCAGGTGACTTTGGAGTAGGCCAATTCATAACTTTCTCAACTTTCTCTGGATCTGTTTCCACTCCCTCTTCAGATACAACATGTCCAACATATTTGACTTTTGGCTGGAAGAAAGAACATTTTGATGGCGAAAGCTTCAAGTTGGCTTGTCGAAATCTGTCGAAGACCATCTCAAGTCGCTCTAGGTGTTCCTCATATGTTTTAGCAAATATGATGACATCGTCTATGAAAACGCAACATATACGCATGTGGAGATCTCTGAGGCAATCCTGCATAAGACGTTGATAAGTGGCAGGGGGCGCAAGCAAGTCCGAAAGGCATCCGGTTGTACTCGAAGAGTCCAAGAGGTCCTACGGTGAATGCTGTCCTCTCCTTATGTTCCTCTAGTATCTCTACCTGATGATAACCTGACTTCATGTCTACGGTTGAGAAGTACTTGTTGCCAGCCATGCAGTCTAACATATCTTCCATTCTTAGCAAAGCATAGGCGTCCTTTTTTGTCTTTAAATTCAATTCCCTATAGTCCACGCATATTCTAAGTGTGCCATTCTTCTTCTTTACTAGAACAACGTTGGAGGCATACGGACTATGAGACTTTCTAATAATTCCTGCTCAGAGCATTTGGTATAAATGGCTCTTTACATCTTCATACATTGAAGGCGGTATGTGTCGATATCGTTGTTTGAATGGTCGATCTTCCTCTAACAGAATCTTGTGTTGTACTATGTTGGTATGTCCAATATCATAATCATCTTTG